AAGTTCAAAGCCAGTTTCAGTAACTTAATGAGACCTTCAGCAACTTAGTGAGACCCTGTCTCAAAATAAAAACTGAGAAGGGCTAGGGGCTCGGTGATAAAGTGCCCCTGGATTCAATTTCCAACACCAAAAAAAAAAAAAAAGGACTAAATTTATGAATGCATGTATCATTAGAAACTAGAACTGTTGGGAAAACTTGATTGGAACCAAAATTTGCTTTATTTTGTCCATCATCATAAGAGTCTTCATTCTTTAAAAAAGCAGAGATAAAATGGAGTATGTTGATTACATTATCTGTATTTAAAGCAAGTAGAATTTAAGCTGTCAGATTTTCAAAGCCTTGTGCATTTTTCTGAAGGTCTGGTTTTGAGATGCCAGGCAGATGGTTTATGCATTTCGGTTTAGCTTCAAGATCTTGCTAACTGCTTTTGGTTCCTCTATGAATACATCAGCAAACCATCCTTCTCCAGACAGCCAAAGGTAACCTCCGGATTTGAGGCAGTGAGAATCAATATACTAAGATATTTTTAGGGACTATTGATGGATTGCTGTGTTTTGAGCTTAACTCAAGTGCCAGATGCCCCAGAGCTGACGAAGATGAACTCCCCATTTACTGGGAACTGAATAGGCCATCACACACGGAGGGCTGCAGGACCGCCGGTRGTGGTGTGTAGTTGGGGAGAGTCTCCCGTGTCTTTCTGGGGGTCTCGTTACCGAATGTCGATGAGGACTTTGCACCGCTCCGCTCGCYGGGGCGCCCGTTACCCAGTGGATAACCTCCCAGTCCTGGGAACACATAACTGCGAATTTTTAGGACAACACTGTACAGAAGCGAATCAATTAATTCTCTGTATCAGGAGTGATCTGGTACACGGAGGCGCTAATGGCCCCACATCCTTCTCCTATGGCAGCTCCGCAGAAGGCGGGAGCSGCGTTAAGCTGTGCTTCTGTCAGCAAGCTGAAAGCTCCGGGTCTCTGACATGGCTCTCAATTGCTAGCAGGTTTCTCTCATTGCACCTCATTTGCATCTGGGACATCAATTAGCATGTTTGTTGAGGCTAATTGAATGAAACTCAATCATAGCTCTTAATTGCTTGACTATGTGAAAAGAAATCACATTAATGCAGCTAATTAAGTGTACGGCAATAGATGCAACATAATTAGGAGCGAAATGTAAAAAACAAGGGATGGCAAAGGTGCGGGGGCAGGGTGCAGGGGACGGCAGGCACCGTTACAGAGCTGTTGGCACGCTCAGAACGGGTCCCTTTGCTCAGGCGCCTGCTTGGAAAAAATAATCCACATGATGAGCATGGACAACTTGAGAAGAAAAATGCAAATAGGTTTGCAATTACTACTTTTTCAAGCTGTTGAGGGGCAGGAGATGGCACCTCTGGGGGGCCTGGCTCTTGAGTGGGCCCCAGGGACTTGTTAAGTGCTGTTTAAAAGTACTTGGCTTTGAATTACCCTCATGCCTTGTTAAAGGGATCTTTCCCCTTTTATCTTCGATCAGCATTTTCTACAAGGAACAGGGTTAGTGGCACAGGGTAGTATCTGTGACATTTGCATATCAAAATCAAGCTTGCCGTCTTTATTTGACCCGGCCAGTTCCCTACCCCGGACCTAGGAAGGCGCTCTGTGTCCTGCCTCTGAGGATACAACATTGTTTAGTGGCTGCAGCTCGAGTTGCTCAAGGGCCACGCTGGGGAAAGATGAAAAGGGTGAGTTCTTTCCAAAGTAGAAAACTGAGTGAGCTTTCTCTTGGGAGAATCTAGAAGMCACAGACCCCAGTGTCTTCGCATTCCCACTGTTGATGAAGCACCAGCCTGGAGGACTTCGGGGGAGTTGTACTTGGTAAACACTTAGCATATTTTTTAGTGGCTTGAAATAAAGCAGTTGTCAAATTGACATTCTGATATTCTAGAGCCAGTCCATCTGAAGTTTCAGCGCCTAACTCAGGCGAGAACGCAGACCCTAGCCCATGCTGAGCCGAAGATAAATGTCTTCCCTTGCCACGTTCAAATCCAGAGAGCAGACACTGGGTACATTTCTATAATAATTTTAAATAAAATATCCTGGTTATTGTATGTTAAAACATGCCTATTAAAAGAGCCCACGCTGAGGCTTAGTCACTCTCTGATTAGCCTCATTTTAGAGCTCATAAGCAATAAATGCTCAATTACACTCCTGTTATTGTATTTTAATTTGTTAAGAATTGGCATTAAAGGAGAAAGTTATAGCAAGTTGATATTTTTAAAGGAGTAACTATGCAAGAAGGAATTCCATTATTTACAAGCATTAACTTTGGTTTTGAAACTTGGAATTGTGTATTTGGGGCGGATGTTAAAGGAAGTCAGTTAAGATGTGTGGGAACAACCATTCTTGTAAATGACCTGCGCAGCCAAGGCTCCCCGTCTCCTCCGACGGGCGTTTCCTAGGCCCTCCTGCACGCTGAGCTCTGCCAGCATTTCTGAGCCCCTGCATCTCTCCAGCCTTCCTTGGCTGTCAATCTGATTGAACAGTAACAACATTTCCCCCGTCTTTCCACATCCTTTCCTAACCACATCTTTTCTCGTAGTCAGTTACATTCGGGGGAGTCTGGCTTCTTGTCTTTGATGTGGGGTCTTCTCTCGGTGGCTTGTGATTCCCAGCCTGGAGACAACCTTCTGCTTYCCCTCCTCCACCTCCCCTCTCCAGGGGGGCAGTTGTGGACCCCTGCTGGCCGGCCCTGAGGACATCAGGTGGCCCCTGCCTCTGCTGCTGGCCCCACCTGGGCTGGTGTCAGAGGTGTGCACTCAGCACCTTCTCTGGTATCGGACCCTCTGCTGAGGAAGGCCGGCCTCACTGGGGACAGCYTCTGACCCCTCCCCGTGGTCCGTAGTCACGTGGGTCCTCCTGTTCCTGGCCTCAGTTTTGGAGCTTGTGTCCTGGACTGAGAGTCGGCCGTTGGTGGTCTGTCTGCGGGAAGTCGCCAGGGCCCTGCAGGTCTGCTRCCTGAGCACCTGCAGAATTCTGTACCTCCCCTCTGAGCCTCTCCCCTCACTCATGGGGTTCCCACCCTCCTCCTCGGGGATCCATCACCTTTTCCTGGAGTCTGTTTTGTCCCCCCCTCAGTTGCAGAAAGGTGGGCACTGGTGACTCCCCAGCCACCCCTCCCGCTCGCTGTTGGGTGGTGAGAGGGCAGCTCTGCTCACCTGCATCCTGGACCCATGCTTACATGCCTGTCCCCCAGGCTGGAATCTTGGCCTCTTGGTCACTGTCACACCATCCCTCCAGCGAGCCAGCTTSCTGCATGTTGACAAACCAGGGGCTCCTCCACCCCTCCACCTGCTGACCATGGACMTCATTCTGCAGCTGAGTTAGAAGTCACTGGCCTCTTTCCCTGAAGCCAAGGAGCCTTCTCTTGGCGCCCTGCCTCGATGGGTGTCCCCGTGTCTACCTGACTCCCCTGGACTGGCCGAGGCCTCCTCCCCGGTGCTCTGCTGCTATCTGGTTTTCTTCCACGTCGGTCAGCCACGTGTGGGAAGCTCGCTTTCCCAGCCTGTCTGGGCCCCTTGCAGCCAGACTCAGGGTTGTCTGGCAGTTCTAAAGTTACACTCGCCTGACCTTAGTCACAGATAATGAAAACGGATCTAAAAGGAATCCTCCAAGAATCTGCCAGAGAAAGATGTTTATTCCTCCTTCCGGCTTAGTCTTAAAACACTTGAAGTATCACTTATCTAAGGGCGACTTAGTCTGTGTCGTTTCATAATATGTGATTCAGTTACTGTGTCCAGAGTGCTTAAACTATTCTGTCCACCAGGAAGCTCAGCTCATTCCCATATCAAAAATAATAATGATAATAGTGCCTCGTTGACAATAGTGAACCCTGATTCACCAGCAGCTGCTTTAGTCAGCTTTCCCTTACTCTGACAAAGTACACCTGAGATAGTCGACTGACAAGAAGAGAAGGTCATTCTGGCCCATGGTTACAGGGCGTGGCCCGTGGTTGCTTAGTCCTGTTAGAACAGCATGGCACAAGTGTGTGGCAGAGGGTGTCTGCTCACCTCCTGGAAACAAAGGGTGGGACAGGAGGGGTCCTGGGTGTGTCCCCTCTGAGGACACACCCCCACTGACCTAACTGCCTCCCACTAGGCCCTACCTCCTAAAGTCTCCCCATTTCCCAGTAGTACCACACATTGGGGACCAACCTTTATGACATGTCAGTCTTTGGGGGACAGTTACCAAACCATAGYAGTTGCCTTTCTGCCTTCTGCCTCTCCACCCATCACCTGCTTCTCCGGGGTGTTCTGCTCCACAGTGAGGTGTTAAGTGACGGCACAGAGAGCTCCCCGTTTACCTAGGCTCCTCTCTGATGACTAGGTCTCTTGCCTCCACCATCCAGAGGGCAGAAGCCTTTCTGAGTATGACAGGTGGACTTCTGGGAGAAGCYCAGAACTCAGGGACCAAGTGATGCACGTGCTCTGAACATCAGATTCCTCCTGTCCTTCCACGAACCCACTAATCCTTCAACTCCTGCCTCCCTGCCCCTGATTGAGCCCTCCAGCTCTGCACGCAGCTTTCCTGGATTCCCACCATGCAGCCAGTCTCCCTGGAAGTTGAACAGTATTCTCAGCTGAGGCAGAAAGGATCAGGAAATAACTGCCAGAGTCCAGAAAATATTTCCTAGAATTTATAGGATGAATCCAGGTCCCTCATGTGCCACCTAATAGTAAGTTTTAAAAATAGGAGTTTGTGTGTATACTTCCAACATGAGGAAGCATCTAGCAGGTCACTCTGTGTTTCTGGTGCTGGGTGAGCTCAGGACACAGGTGCAAAAACCTGGATTGAAAGGGGATGGTGGCGCGCCCACACCAGACAGATGAAAACCTCATTATTTTGAAAATGCTTTCCACAGTGGCAGGGTCACGGGATTATAGCTCCTGACGTCTGATAGAACCTCATGTCCTAGATTGTAGAGGTCCTCTTTTTAATCTCTCTTGGGTGTTTAACATTTTGAACAGGATTACATGCAGAATGTTCACGGTAAAGAGATTGATCTTCTGAGAACCACTGTGAAAGTCCCAGGGAAGAGGCCACCCCGAGCCACGTCGGCCTGCGCGCCCATCTCCAGCCCCAAAACCAATGGCCTGTCCAAGGACATGAGCAGTTTACACATCTCACCAAATTCAGGTAAGCTCACCGCAGACACCTGAGAAACCAAGAGGGACAGCGATGACAGACGGTGTGGCTGGTGGGCAGGTTGGGCTTCTGAGACCCAGTGGAGTCGTTAGCCCTAGGTGTGGACAGGGGCTGATCACTGTCCCTGTGCCCTGGGCTCCGAATGCCGCAGTGTCCGCGGCACAAACCAAGCATCCGGTGATCGGAATTGGTACCTAAGGGCTGTCCTTCAAAGGAACAGAACTAAYCAATCAAGGATCAAGGATCAACCAGCCTGGTAACTCTGTGGACAAAARCAGAAAAACTTTTGGGGCAATGTTTAAGGAAACACTGGGCCTACCTAGATTTCAGTCCTCTCCAGTTTGTTTTACCTACCATTGGTCATTCTCTACTGCCACCTGCCTTCTCCTGATTCTCTTTTAAAGGGRAATGTTCCTTTTTCATTGAGGATGATAGAGAGTTGGTGTTTTCTCAAAATTCAGTGTGTTTGCCTGTTCCTGGCCTCGGGGAGCAGGTGTGAACCCTCCGTGCCATTGTTGGTTTTATGTCGGGATCTGGGTGGTTGAAGGGGATGGTAAGCAGGAATSAGAATTGGGGGCAGCCCACCTGGGCTCCGCCTCACAGTGCCAGGGGCCTTGTGCAGGTCACTGAGGGGCAGAGAGCAAGGCCAGGCCAGGGAGCACCTGGGGAGGCACAGGGCGAGGGACAACGGGAAGACGCTATGGCTGCGCATCAGGCTGAAAGCTGACTTCCTCCAGAAAGGCCAGGAGGTGGTTCACGTGGCTTCCTGTGACCTGCTGACCTTTCTCCCAAAATGTCCGTGAGAGTTCCCTTGTTGGGGTGGTGTRTGACTGGGTGGGAAGAGAGGGGAGAAGGGCAGGGAGGAAAAGGGTGGTACAGCGAGTAGAGCACCCCGCCACTCCTCACGTCGCAGAGGCGCCCACCTGCCAGGAGTGCCCTCGAGCACCAGGAGCTGTCGTGCTGTGGGGAAAGCCCTGGCCCCCCCGTGGCCAGCCATTTCACCTCCCATCTGACCACGTGACATCTATCCATGTATTTATTCAAGTCAACAGATGTCAATCAAGTCTCCTATTAAAAAAAAAAAAAAATTTATGGGAAGTTTTCTGACAAAGTGCAGAAACACCTGCTAGATGAACTGTGACCTGTCATGTTCTGTTCTTTCTTAATGAGCAAAACTTGCGTGTGTTAGTGACATGTGGCTTGGTATCTGGAAGTGTGTTCACATGGCAGATGGCCAGGCAGAGCCACTATCCAGCTGCTGACGGGTCCCTGCCGCTGTCCTCCGCCCCAGTGGCACAGTCAATAAGACATGACCCCCACCCTAGAGATCCTCACCCTCATATGGGGGTCAGATGCAGCCCTGCACAGCAGGCCACGGGGACCCAAGGAAGGGGGTCCACCGTGGCAGGGTGCGCCCCATCCAGGAGGTGAGCCAGGGCCTCCTGCTCAGGACGTCTGTGTTGGAGTGGGACCAGGGACAGGAATCTGGGTACACAGGACAAGGGAGCAGCCCTGAGGAGTGGAGAGGTGTGGAGTGGGTAAGATGGGGACCTTGAGCGTCTCAGGCTTGAGACTGGAGCACCTTGTGCTGAAATCCACGGTCCTAAGGAAAATTAAATGTTTTCATCATAAATAAAAATGCAAGCGGCCACACACACCATACCAACTCCGTGGGGTGGGTGATGTCAGCCTCCTTCACGGGTGAAGGCATTCCCAAGGCCCAGGCTCATTCTCCGTGAGACCCTGGGCAAGTGCAAGGGTCTGGGCAGGATGAGGAGCCCTCCTCTGGCCACGCCCCTCAGCTTGGGGTGGCAGGGACTTCATTAAAACGTTGTGGCATTTTAATTTACATCGGCCTCCTAAACTGAACCTTAATCTGCAAAATGATACCTTCTTTCTTGCTTAAGAAATCAAAGCCTTACGATTTAAGATTTCACATACTTAAATTACTCTTGGAAAATGAGCTCCCTGTATCTGAAATCATTCATAACATGCTCATGCTCTCTGCCTGGGGATTCCAGCACAGCAAGTGGAATCTGCAGTAAAGCGGCCCAGCGCTGAGGTGGCGCAGCTCTCGGCCAGCGTGGGCCTGGAGCCCTTCGCCACGGCCTTCCTGGGTCACTCCTGTCACCCTCCGCCCTCCACTCCTTGGAATGCTGCTGCTTGGCTCTTTGGGGCTTCTGGGTCAGCTGGAGAGGCYGGCCACCCTTGGTGCTTCCTGTGCTTTTTCCCCCCTGCTGTCTGATCTTGGTGTTGCTGACCTGGATCAGCGTCGTGTGCCTTCCCTTCTGGTGACGGCGGCACCTGCGTGGGCCTGGCATGCACAGACCTGCTGAACCTTAATCTGCAAAATGATACCTGACACTTGTTATTGCTGGAGAGCAAACGCCGTGAGTAGAGTGACCCCGTCCGTGGGCAGCACCACTCACATGGTTCCACGTGAACCTCCAGAAAGAGTCACACACAGTGCCGTCCATCTAACGGCCAGCGCCACGCCACCTCGATTACTGGCTGGTGCTCCTGTTGGGCATCATACATCATCTAGGCTGATCCAATCACAGTAGCTCCTGCTGTCTCCGGATTGCTTGGGTGGGAGTGAGGCTGAGCCTCTTGTATGCTCCATGGCCACCCGTGTTTCCTCCAGCCATTTAAATTTATCCTTTGCCATTTTTTCACTAGGTACCTGACTTTTTCTTACTGATGTGTCAGACTCTTTTTATATTTAGGATATCAATAGTTTATAATATATTTTTCAAATAGCTCCCCAGTTTATTATTTGCTTTGTAAATGTTATGGTCTTATTTTCATATAGAGATTTTCCCCCCTTTTATTCTATATAACGGAATCATAAGTCTTAATACTTGTAGGTTTCCATTTTAAACTGTATAGAAAGCTTCAATAAGTCTGAAATCATTTCACAGTTGATAGATGTGCACATCCAAGTTTACAGTTTTATTATTGTTTTGTTCCCTTGTTCCAAAACATGATTAGTCTCCAGTCTCCCTTTGACTTGTGTGGATCCATGTGTGTGACAGGAAGTAGCAGTAGGTTGCCAGTCGTCCCCTCTCTCTGATGAGCCTGCGTGTCCTCGTTGTGCAGCTGAACCTTTGCTAATACCCGCTTCTGGCCCCTGGAGTCCACTCCGCGGGACCCACGGTTGCAGGTTGCCTTGCCTTGGCTTCGTTTGCCAGATTATCTTGGCTTCATGGCTACATTCCCATCTGGTAGAGTTACAGCTTCTCCTTTACCCCCGAGTTTTTCTTGGCCACTGTTACCTGTTTGTTTATTTTTTAATGAACTTCAAACCTCTCTCCCGCCACCAAATCCCCCGGGCCGATCTTAGTTGGCGTTGCTGTCGGGCTGTCAGTTAGGTGCAGAGGGACGCATCTTCCCTATGCTGAGTTTCTTATCATGGAGCACAGTTCTTACCTGGTCCACTCAAATTTGTTTCTCACTCCCCAGTAAAATTTGGTGTTTTCCTTCATTTAGATCTTGTCTGGTCTCGTTAATCCATTCTGTTCATTTATCACTTCTGGTGCATTGCAAGGGGGAAGTCTATTATATCATCTAATTGGTGAGATATAAGGGAGCTGCTACTTTTTGCATTTTGTGAATCCAGCCACCTTACCAAACTCCTGTTAGTTGGAATATCTGTTTGGATGCTTCTCTTGATTTTGCAGAATAGTTATATTACAATGAAGCATTCCCAATTCAAATGTTACAATTCCTAACTATGTATCAACGTTGACCTCAAGTTCTACCAACCTGTTTAATGATCTGGATATCTTTTTGCTTTGCCTCTTGTGTCTTTGATTTTCCATTATTATTGAGTTTGCTGCATGGTCAACCCTCATTAATGCTCTGGACATTGTGGGGAGGAGGCAGGACAAGCCTTTCCCCCTGGGAGCCTACCATCCCATGGGGGTGGCAGAGTCAGAAGAGAAGCACACGGTGAGATGGTGAGAGCCGGCATCGATGCCGTGGTTGGACAGGAGACTGCTGGTGGGGAGGCGTGTTGTGTTATACCTGTTTCACTGGAAAATAGTTTGCTAGTTCTGAAATAGCAACTGCATTTCACACATCGAAATGCAGGAAAAGGGGTGGTCTTCCTTTCAGTTTTTGCCATGGGCTTGGAACAAAGGGGGGAAACTCGCTGTCGAAACAGCTAGTTTAGTGCTGATCCCTGAGCCCAGAGCTCACTCTGGGGCCCCGCAGAGGCACCACAGAGAGACCACAGTGAGGCAGGGAGCCCCTGACTCTGTGTGGCAAGTGTGGAGGACAAGACTGGGCAGTGGCACCACGGCCCACGGTCGATCGCAAGAAGAGCCAGCCAGTGTCATCCCTGCCACCAGCCCCACTGAGGGAGCAGCATCTGCACTGAGGAGAACACCTGGGTAGATTGGCACCTCTGACCAGGGCTAATGCTTGAAAAGCAGGAAAACAGACCTTGGCACATTCACCAAGAAAAACAGATAAATAGCAAGGCAAGGCAGCTCCGAGCAGAAGCCACATGCTAAACTCTGCCAGCCTACCCAGAGACCACTCTGTCAAGTCTAAGCTGAAACACCCAGTCCTGTGTGCCACTCGCTTGCTCTGAGTCCACAGCCAGTCTTCGCCTTCAGGAACAAGTTGCTCAAGGCTGCAGAGATCTGCCACCTCAACCCCCTGCTCTTATTCATGCATGAGAGTGGACCACCACCACGTTCATGGAAACAACGAGATGTGTAAGACCAAGGGGACAGCTGATCCTGGAAGACAAAGACGAGAATTTGGAGGAAGCAAATTTCAAAGGAAATCATAGTCACTATCATCAGAAAGATTTAAGAGGATGGTTCTGTATACCTACCCTATTTCACTGGATAACTGTCACAGACTTTATGCCAAGTTTTTTTTGCAACAAAGTGGAGTGCAATCATTATGAGAAGCTTTTTTTTTTTTAAACTGTACTAGCATTACTTAAAAACCACTTATTACTAAGCTATCTTTAGTGT